ATCCTTGCTTGCTGTTTAAGGACCGAATTGCGGACCTTCAACTTTGAAATCTGGTTAATGTTTGCTCTTGCTGACGCAGTTAAATGAAAGAACTTTGTGTTTCGATCTCCATCTTTCAACCACCTAAGTCCAGATTTTTGAAGCCACTCTCTTTCTTCCTTCTTCAATATTGCCCACAAGCGAGCCTTCATTGCCACAAGTTCGAACTGAGCAGAATCGAAACTGGGGTTCGAAATACACTTTTTTTCGAACACATCTATTAATTTTCCCATTTTTTCCGCTGAATCAGTATTGTTTTCCCGAATTGTTTTTTCCATTTCTTTTGTCACAATCTTAGTTTGCAACAAATACTGAAAAATGCTATTACCTCTATTTGACTCCCACACGCCCTTAATACTCTCATAAAGAATTGGATCTTCAGCCCAATGATTGAACCATTTAAAAGGCCTAAAGAATTGTTTTTGCTTCATTTCTTTTAGCAAAACCGAGTTATGATCCAATGTACTTCTTGGTAGAGTGAACTGCATCAACCCAGGAAAATAGAAAACAATATCAGATAAGATAAGAATCATATCCAATATGCTTGCAGCCACATTCAGACCTCCCCTAAACCAAGTGAACGTACTGCCCAAAATTTGAACTTCAATAAGCTCCCACCTTGAAATGAAATCTTCAAACAATCTGCTCGCAGCAGACTGATCATGGGTCCTAATTCTTTCTGAAGCCTACCTTACTACATTAAAATCACCCCCACTATAACTGGGCAATTAAAATTTACAATGACATTACTTAGGTGCTCAAAAAATTCAGATATTTCACTTTGATAATTCGGTCCATAAACGTTTACAATGTCGATCTCAAACTTGTTACAAATCAACTTACCTTTAATAGCTACAATTCTCATAAGGATAACATTGTTGATCATCTCGAAAGCTTTACGATCACATAATGAAATAAGACCTCCTGAAGCACCTTTTACAGGCGCAAATATCAACTCCCTACACGATCTTCCTTTAAGCTTATGTTCAACAAAAACATAAATCTCATTCACTTTTGATTCCTGTAACAGAACTATACTTGGTTTGTTTACCTCTAACACCCGACTAATAGCCCTGAGTTTAATATTTTCCCCAACCCTCTAACATTCCAGCTTAAAACAGAGAAATCCAAATCCATAATATTGAAAGCACACACCAGAGAGAAACAAAACTTAAAAACCCAAATCAATGCTTACCCGAGAGCTCATTCTGCTCCAATCTTTGAATCACATCCTCTCTCGACGCAGAGAAGACTACATCCAGTTCTTCACCAACATCCAACGTAGCCACCGCTTCATTTTCTGAACCCGACCGATCAACACGTAGCTCACCCACAGAGAAACCTCGATCATCCTCACCTCTTCTGCCATTTTGTAGCATGACTCACCTTCTCGAGCTCTTCTTCTTCCTTTTAAGATGCCCCAAAATCAGCTATTGAACACTAATCATTTACTTTTGATTTGGGAATTCTCTGGTTAGACGTCAAGAGTTGAGCAATATCCCTTTCTGGATAATTAGAAAGAAGCCCCTCATACACTACTCCAATTGAAGACACCTCTTCAATCGGAATATCCAAAAGCCTTGAACTGTTGGATAATGACTGAGTCTGCCATAAGTGTACATCTCTGTTAAAACCATAAGCCCAACACTATCATCAACAGCCTGGATCTTAGGCTCATTGTTGGAAAAAATCGGCACCTCGTGCAAATTGTCTTCAAAGGCAGCACTCATTTCCACCTCAGTAACCACGTGCCCCCTACTAGCTGCCACTAAAACATTATCAGTATCGCTCCTCTGACATAGTGAAACGTGCGTAGCCACCACATTACATTCTGTCTAGGGACCAACTCCATCAACCCATTCCTCTTCGAACAGAGGGCCATCACCTACTTCCTTAGTATCTGAACGCCACGCTCCACCACCAGCAAGCGAGCCATCGATAAACACATGAGTCTCTTCCTGAACTTCCGTTGAGATTTTAATAGAGTAAATTCTACCATTATAGACAATAGAAGCTTTATCTAGAATATCCTAAACATATTGAACTTCCATCAATATCTTTGCAACATTGAACCTCCACTATCTACGGCGTCGACGAAGGTTAATGACGATAACAATGTATTTATGGATTAAATTTGGAGAATATTTAAATATGAATGATTTAATTAATATATTAATTTGATTTAGGATCAAATATTTATATGTATAAATCATTTTAAAACTGTCATGTCAATTTTAACGTTACTTAATTAATAATGGATGGTTTGATTGACATCAAAATGAAAATTTAATGACCCAAAAATAATCTAAATTTATTTTTATTTAAAACCTATCATGTTTAGTTTCTGTCTAGACATATTCTAATTAAAATCTGAATATAATTCAATTGTAAACTCAACCTTATAATATACTAAATAATTTTATCTATAATTATTTATTGTGTTGTATTCTAATTGTAACTTTCATATATGTATAAATAAATTTAAAAAGTAAGCAATTATGACAGTCTAAATTGGATTGAGAAAAAACTAATGTTTGCTTAAAGAGTGATTTGCATGGTTTTCAGAACCGGACCGGTTAGCGAACCGGTCATGCTATCAGTTCACTGGTTTAACTAGTCGAACCGGTCCGACTGGTCGGAAGAACCGGACGACGTCATAATTATTTAAAAAATTAAATAAAAATACCAAAAATATTTAATAAAAAATAATTTTTTATATCACAAGTTATATTAAAAGCAAGTCATAACATATATAAGTTAAAAACCATAAAATCAAGTGAAACAAAATGATTCAAATTAACTACAACATAATATTTAAGGTAAAACATATTAAATAATAAATATTTATAACTATAATTAAAAAATAAATTTGTGGTTAAAAAAATCATAACAAAATTATATTGTTTGGTTTAATTTTTTTTTTAAAAATAATCGCACATGGCCAAGAAACATAGAAGAGCATCCCAAAAGTCTAAAGAGTAAAAATATGAGAACAAAATAATCTTACATTGCTAAGAAACATAGAAGAGCATCACAACTAACTTCTATAAATAATAGAGGTAATTTGACATTCAAAATCTTGGAGCCTTTTGGTGAGCATTGAATAAACTATTCTTTCACTTCAATCAAGCTCGAATTTTAGGCTTCAATCGAGTTTCTAAATTTTTTTGAGTTCAAGTTTCAATATTATATTTCGAGTTTGAGTTGAACTTGATAATTTTTAGCTTGTGAGTTTGAATTGAGTTGAACTTACTTTTAAAGTTTTCAAGTTCGAGTCGAGCTCAGCAATACTCGAGTTCGACTTGGCTCGTTTAACAAACGACGTTGTTTGGTTTAATTTTTTTTAAAAACAAAACAGAATTCCCGATTTTTTCCGGTTTTTAGCTGGTCCGGTTTGAACGGTTTAGCGGTTCTGGCCGGTTCACTAGTAGCGGTTCAACCGGTTTAGATTGAACCGGACTAAGCAACGGTTCCCGATTGAACCGGCCGGTCGGGTCCGATTTTCAAAACAGAGGTGATTTGGTGGGGAACTGTATGCTCCATTCTTGTTGATTCATAGAAAGATCACGTTAACTCCTATTAATTTGATGATGTGACTAGTTAGTTAAAAGGGTGTTAATTTTTAATTTTACCCCTAAACTTTAGATAGAATAGTAATTCGATCCTAAACTTTAGATAAAATATTAATTTAACCATTGAATTCAACTAAAGTATCTCATCGCTAACCAATTTTGTTAATTATCACATCAACTCTTTCGTCTAATGTGAACAGTTGGTGACTTGATTGATATTATTTAAATAATTAAGTGGCTTAATTGATAAAATTAAAATATCAGTAGTTAAATTTGTATACATACATCTTCCATTGATCTCCCCTTTAAAGGATGCATCTATTGACAAAGATTAATGAATCTTTCAAGTAGGGGTGAGTAAAAAAAAAGATCAAATCTAAATTCAAAATGAGACGTAGTGTTTAAACAGTTTAAGATATTTTCATATTCAATATTTTTAAATACAATTTAAAGGTTTTTAGCACTAGTATATATGCGTGATCGAATTCTTATGCATTTCAATGACACCTATCTTAGTCTATATGATATAGTTTTCATATATGACATATTTGTTTATTATTTGTTTTTTAATTACTTTTTCATTATTTAAGTAAAGAATTATTTTAAATTGGGGCGTATAAAAGACAATATTTGTTCAAAAACTTCAAATCATTTGACGAGAAACGTTCATTAATTCGAAACATGTGGCATCAAGAGATAACAAATCCCTTAATCATTGACTGAATTCCCCGCCCATATACAAGTTAATGAAAATATACGTTGTAGCTTTTTTTCCCCAAAGAAAAAAATTAGCTACCCTATTCTCTAGTAATGGGGTAAGGGGAGGTAAGATAGTTGGTTGCCCCCAATGCCAGGTTGAGAGCAGCTTTCGTGGGAGACCTCCGGCAGTCAGAATTATGAATTGCCCACCGTAGGACTCGATCTCACGACCTCAAAGTTAAGAGCCTTGCGCTCTTACCAACTGAGCTGGACGGGTAATTTTTTTCCCCAAAGACATTATCATAAATACATTATTCTTATATAATATATGTGATCTCTTTAGGTTAAATCGATTTACTTGATTTGATCATTTTTATCTTAAAGCTTCATTGTAAATCAAATAGTGAAAATTATTATTGCACAAATAAAAAAAAATCAATCATTGTAAATCAAATTGTGAAAATTATTATTGCACAATTAAAAAGTTCCATTTTAATTGTTTAGCAGGGTTTATTGGATTCAACTCAGCTAATTTTATGTCCTACTGATTTTTTCTCCTCTTACAATAGGGGGTTAAACAAAGTGGTATGGAGCAGTAGAGGACTTGCACTCTGGTAGAAATTGAGCTCTACCATTAACCAGTCCATATATTTTCTTCCCTTATAAGTTAATTAATATTGTTGTTTTACCTCTTACAATAGGGGGTTAAACAAAGTGGTATGGAGTAATAGAGGACTTGCATTTTGGTAGAAATTGAACTCTACCATTAACCAGTCCATATATTTTCTTACCTTATAACTTTATTAATATTGATGTTTTGGGTATCATATTGGCCTTGCTAGAGTATAAAGTTGATAAGGTTTTAACTGCTTAAGTTCTATGTTTGCTTGAACTGTATTTTGGAGTAGGTACTTACTAATAAATATGTACACACCTTTAGTTGCTTTTTCATTTAAACATTAAATATTCTGCGATTAGGTTGATTTTTTGTTAAAGTTTTCCTGCTTGTTATCTATTAGGAAAGAGAAGGCTATGGAGAGCTTTTCTGCTGTATGGTCCACCTGGTACTGGGAAGTCATACTTGGCCAAGGCTGTTGCAACTGAAGCAGACTCTACATTTTTTTGGTAACATAGTTTTTTCCATATTTGACCTTTTCTCTTCCATGAAAAGAGTTTGAAGCCTTTTTTTCCAGCTTTTATTAATTTTTAATATGCATATTGAATCATGAAAACAAAGGGAAAAGTTCTACTTTTGCACGAATACGATGTTTTGTCGTCTACCCCTTCCTCTGTGATGCAGCCACTGCTTTCCTTTTGTCTGGGATAAAGGAAAGGTGGTGCTAGTAAAGGTCAAAGTATGCATCACTGAATTGCATTGGAAAAGAGTTTGAAGATTACAGATATTGTGGTTCTGGGCGTGAGACTTAAATTCGGTTACAAAAACTCTCTGATCTGTTAATCTATTGCTTTCTGTAGGGCAAGCTTCCTTACCTTCCTTCTGAGTTCCATGTTTGTTGTTTTTTTTAGCAAAATTCGCAATCACTGTGCTTGAATAGTTATATCGTTTTATGATTTATATTTTTACAATCTAGGATTCTATATATGCATTCTAGGAATTGTGTTATTGAAAAGAAAAAAGATTAACTGTTCCTTTAACCTGGTTTACTGTTACTTGAGTTTATTTAGTGTAGGAGTTGCTAGGCTTATAGGGTTTTTTTCCTTGGAATCTAAGTTGATTATTTGCATGTAGTTTCGTGTTATGAATCCGAAGCATTTGGATTTATGTAAATCTAGGAATCTTCATAAATACATTCTCTTGGCTTTTATTTGTGTAATTATGAACCTTTTGCTCTGTTTATGTGCACGTACTACGGATATTATGCAGGAATTGGCAGCCAAAGGACTCGCGGCACAGGTACGTAGTTGCTTCTAACTTTTGTGTTCCACTGCTCATTGCTGTTGGAGATTCTGTGATATTTTGTATTTTTGACGTAATTAAAACATCTTTTAATTGATAAATGCCCACGCAGATCCTACCACCTCCAATCTCAAGATCAGATTCGACAAGGTGCTTGCAAGACAGAGGTCGACAGTGAGCAAAGCTCATCTTGAGGTCCATGAAAGATTTACAAATGAGTTTGGAGAAGAAGGTTGATAGATGTAATGGAACTTTTCATATTGATCTACACTGGTTGTAAGTGCTATCACTGTGTATTCTATTATAAACTTCTGGATCATCCAATGAACACTTGTCTTTTACATTGTACAGAATATTATAAGAATTTTGGCATATAATATGCTTGAAGATGAGTTATTACCTTTTTTCTGCCTAAACTTGATGGCAGCTTTCTGCTGTATAATTTTCAGCTTTCTGAAATAAGCTGCCCGACCAGTTAGTATTTTACTCTGAAGTTTTCCCTAAACTCCAATTTTCAAGGATCATAATTTGATTAAAGCCTTTTATCCATGACTGCTGATTGTTGGATCAAAACCACATCAAGGACATTGTTTACATGACATTTTGGATAACATAAGGTGATTTGAAAGTGAAGTTCCATCATCACATCAACCAATATTAAAGTCTTCCTAATTATTATATAGCTAGCCTATGAAATGAATAGGTGTGTATGCATCTTCAACGACTAAAAAAATTTCAAACAAATATTATCTTGTAATTATCCTAGAGTATTAAAAATATATTATAATTAATGGGCTTCACATAGTTTTTTATAACTGGAGGGTTATATTAAATAATTACAACCCAATGCCCCAAATAAATGGTTACCAGTAATCAGCACAAGAACAGCTACCTGCTTTGAAGTGGTGGAACCGGGTTGTATCCCTAACAATTATATCTCTTCCTTCAATCAGTGATATTAACTTAATAACAGTGTGACAGTCTCCACACACTCTAAGGTTCTTAACGATTTGAAGCACTGTTCCAGGAGGAGTAGCAATCAACCCGAAAGCAATAGCCAATCTCTCACTGTGTTGAGAAAGAATGGTTTCTTTGTCTTCATTGGCAATGTCCTGAAGTACATAATCAGTATCAGGTCGATACCCCATGTCCTTCAGTCGAGTTTTTAGTTCATCAAGTTTCGAATAAATATGATCCGACATGGGATGAGATTGATCGCAGGCCAAGAATGAGTGAGTCTTTCTCTTAACTTCAATCCAGCTGTAACCAGCCTCCTTTTTCAATTTTCTCTGCTCCATCAATTTCCTTACTTCCCTTTTTCATGCCAATTTCCTGCTGCAGCATAAATGTTGGAAAGCAAACATATGCAGCTGAGTCTTCTGGCTGAAGTGAAATAAGCTGTTCCGCAGCATGTTTTCCGAGCTCTAAATTGCGATGAACACGGCTGGCAGCCAAGACAGTTCGCCACACAGTTGCAGGGACAGGGAAAGGAATCATGTTTACAATATCCATAGCCTTGTCAAGCATTCCAGCTCGGCCATATAGATCAACCATGCAAGAATACAGCTCCATTGTTGGAGAAATCTGGTGTTCTTTTACCATCGTGTTGAAGTACTTTTCACCTTCATCCACTAATCCAGCATGGCTACAGGCAGAAATGACACCCATAAATGTTATATGATCCATTTCCATGTTTTCTCTTTGCATTTCTTCAAAAACCTTAAGAGCATTCTTTGCATGACCATGCTGTGCATATCCAGAGATCATCGAGTTCCATGACACGAGGTCTCTTTCCCGTTGCCTTCTAAAAACTTGATACGCATTATCTATATTCCCTCTCTTAGCATACATGGTAATAAGAGCATACATACACATATTGCATCACTTAATTTGATTTGATTGACCATGCATGAAACTGCTTTCCCTGTTCTAAAGCTGTAGGTGCGGCACAGGCATTTATAACACTTGAAAAGGTGAATTCATTAGGTTTAGTCCCCTCCTTTACCAGCTGCATAAAAACTTTGGTAGCTCCCTCGGAGTCTCCTATCTGAGCATACCCAGCTAGCATTGCCGACCACGCGACAATGTCCCTCATCAATTTCTTCAAAAGCTTTAGCAGCTTCTTTGATATTTCCCAGCTTATAAGCATCCAAAATAGCAGTTCCAACTGTCGGTGACTTCTCATAATTAGCTTTGATTACTTGTGCATGTATTTGGAAAGGGGAAATCGTGGGTTGAGCTGTAAGAATTGTAGAATAAGTAAAATTGTTTGGTCTAACACCTTCCTTGTTCATTAAACAAAAAAATTTCACCCCCTCTTGAATTTTACCGTTCTGCAGGTGCAAACTGATCATAGCTGTCCAAGATACAACAGATTGAGCTTCGTGCATCATTGAAAACAACTTCAATGCATCGTCCGTTTCGCTGCACTTACTGTAAGCTATCATAAGCACTGTTTCAATTTTAGGGTCAAAACTGAAACCATCTTTCAAAACTTGACAATGAAGCTGCCTTGCAAAACCCAATTCCTTACGATTAGCACATAGCTTTATAAGAGGAGCAAAAGACATCTGAGTAAGCTTAACACAGCACGCCTCATGTCGTAGAATGTTTCGAAAGCTTCCAAATCAAGCCATTTGTTACATAACCAGAAATCATACAATTCCATGTCACAGCATTCTTGGTTTCCATGCCATCAAAAACAAGTCTACCATCTTTACCCATCCCTGACTTCAGATACATACTAATCAAATAATTGCAGACAACAGTTCTTGTCTGAAAACCAAACTTCACAATCGAACAATGAACTTGAACACCGGTTTCTACCATCCCTTCGGACGCCAAAGCTCCGAGAACAGCCGAAAAGGTATATTGATTGGGTTTTATCCCTTCCATCTGCATTGTCAAAAACAATTCCAAACTTGCTCCTTCATTCCATTCTGAGCATAGCCACCAAGCAATGAAGTCCAAGAAACCACATTTCTTTCCCCCATATGATCAAAAACTCTCCGACCATCTTTAACATTCTCTGTTTTCATACATATCTAAAAGAGAATCCCTACACTTACATCCTCAAGTAACCCGAGTTTCAAACATTGGCAATGCACTTGTCTTCCGACATCACATTAACAAGCATCCACATACCTTTAATACACAGGATAACGTCGATCCATCAACTGGTAAGCCAGAATTATGAATACCCAGAAAGAGATTTAGAGCTTCCTTCTTGTTGTCATTGCGAGAGTAGTCGAAAAGCAAACCATTGTATTGGACAAGGTCGGGTTGAGGAATTTTGTCGAACAGGTGGGGAGTCTGCTGTAAAGTAGCATATTCATCATAAAACTTTGAGCCTCGAAGGTTCAAATTCAATGCATTGGTTTGGGAAAGGGAGAGAAATTTGTGGAATGGATCGTTGAGAATTTTGAGGAATTGGTTTGCTTGATTTCTCGTAACAGTTCGTAAAGAGACGCTTAAGGTCATGCTATCCTGTTTGATTTTAGCATATGTTTTAGGAGGCGTGTTTCGTTGGTTTATACATGGTTAATAATTCAAAAAAACACAACCTAAACTAGTTGTTAACGTCCATGGAACTTGAAAATACCTAGACATGTCAATATGGTAAAAAGTTTAGATTAAATATGTTTAAGAAATAGATCCAATTGGACACATATTTAAAATGAAAATATCTTATCTAACTTAAAAATAATAATATAATTAACTTTTATACATTTATAGATGATTATTATAATACATTTTTATCTATATTTTCTTCAATTAGATCCTTTTATATATATATATATATATTATATATATATATATATATATTATATATAGAGTGCATCTAGGCGGTCTACCTAGGTCATGACCTACCCATGCATAAAAATGGGTAAATGACTTATTTGTTATTTAATTTGTGTTTTTATCATTCAATTATTATTTATTTTAAAACATAATTAATGTTATGTTTTAGTTTTGTTTTAATTACTTGTCTTTAAAAATATTAATAGTGATATTATCATTCATCATAAGATAATGACACATCAAGACTGAAAATAATTAAAAATGTCACGGTAGCATTACTGTTAATATTTTAGGTATAGTTTTGAAAAATTAATAATGATATTGTCGTGTTCATCCCATATTTTTAAGATGCACCAAACCGAATAAACCATCGACAGAAAACCAATAAAGGATGAAGCTGCTGCATATGCAAAATTTGAAGGGGGAAAAATGGAAGATTATTTTGATTGGCATATCAAACCAAGCCACAAAACAAAGGTTTCAGCTTTGTCACTTGTAACAACAGAGGAATGGAATCAGGAGGACCTCTCTTTACTTTTACCTTCCATGGATGTGGTTTTACCTCCATCTTCACAAGCACCTGGCCTGGTGATACAAAGCCATGTTCTCGACGTCTCCTCGTTGCTGTCACATACAATGGGGACATGCCATGATCCTTTCTCGGATTCCTGAAGCATTACAATGGGGACATGCCATGATCCTTTATATTCCCGATTGAAAATACAAGAAGCTAATACGCATGCTGCTCGGCAATGGCCGAAAATCACAGCATCCCAGCAATGCGAAAATACAACCGAAAATACCAATGAATACCTGAATGAAAGTAGAGTATGTGGGTGGCATCTGAAGTTTCA